CATTTGTTATTATTATTTCTTTAAATTTGATCAGACAGAGAGAGAGAGAAAGGGAAAGTGAGAAAGCAAGCCACCAAGTCCGGGACTTGAACCTTGGTTGGCCATGTGGGAGTCCTGTGCCTTTAACCACTGCACCACCTGCTGGCCCCTTAACAATAATTTTTAAAGCACTGCTATGTACCAAAAACTATGGAAGAGTGAAGCAAATTATTTAACCTCAGCTCAGAACCTAGCCCTTGACCACTTAGTTTGGTTTGTTTTGTTTTTGAGAGATATTTTTTGCTAAAGAGCGCATACGCTTGCTGGAGAGACAGAAAGAGACAGAGAGAGAAAAAGTGAGAAATCACCCCATGGTGGGGGGTGGTGGGGGATAGCCATGCCACAATACCTTCTTCCCCATTGTTCTCTCAGGACTTTAGGCACACAAGCACACATGTCTAGCATAAGTTTCAAGCAACTGGGTCCGGGTCTCAAACCACGGTCCACCATGTGGAAGTGCAGCAACTTAATCATTATACTACCTATTTACCCCTTGGCCTTTTAGATTTAAAAATGTCATGTTGTTGATATGATCAGACTTTTGATGACGACTGACCTGTAATTTACTGTAATTAAAATCACCAGAAAATGCTAGTTCATTCATGTCTACAGTGATTTCGAATACCTCTAGCCAGGCCTGCCTCTAACATTTGTAGGGTCAGAGTATAAACATTTAAGTCTGAAATCATGCCAACAGATGTATATATTCCACCTTGTAACTCAACAAATTAATATACATTGTGAATGACTAGGGATGCCAAGTGGCTTGGCGTTCCCTGCTTGAAAGGTGGGAGGCCAGAAAAGAGGAGGAACAGAGCCCCTTCCCTGTCCCACAGTGCAGGGTGGAGCCAGTCCAGACATCTAGGTTCTGTTCATCCTCCTCTAAAAGCCCCTGCTTGACTGCCCTTGTACCTCGGAGTACGCAACTCTGCAGTGAGGTTACCCCAGGAGTGAGGCCCTGAGGAAGACACCAAGAAAATCCTAGAAACAGGCTCCATGAAGGGGCCAGCCAGTGGCATGGTGGTTAAGGTGGCTGGACTCCCACATGGCTGACCATGATTCGAGTCCCAGAGCTGGCAGCTTGCTTTCTCACTTTCCTTCTTTCTCTCTGGCCAAGTTCAAAATAAAATAAAATAATGATAATGAATAAAATTAAATTTAAAAAATGGAATGGGGCTTCCAGGTGTGTACTGTGTCTCCTTGGTCCCATGGACTCCTCAGGGGAGGAGAGCCAAGCAGAACCCTTAAAGAGGGGACCCAAGGCCATGATTCAGGGCACACCCTGCCCACTGATGAGGTACTGGGAAGGCAAAGAGGATGCTGCTGGGGAGTTGGTGCAGAAAATGGGTTGTTCGCCAGCTCTGGAGCTGAGGCTGAATTGACCACCTCCCCCAGCATAAGTCTATGCTACCCTCTGCCTGCGAGGCTGCTAGAACCCGTAATTCAGGCATGTGTCTCCTGTGATGGAGCTGACACTGTTTGCTTCCCTGACAACTCCCTTTTCTCTAAGGATCGGGAACTACAAAGGCTCCCTGACTAGGAGAACACACAGGTCTCCAGAAAGGACACCTTTCTAAATGTTAGACAAGGTACTAAATAGGGTAGCTGAGATCTGTTGCCAAATCTATTCTGACTGTGCGGCTTAGACAACTTAGTCTCCATCAGCGAAACAACTCTCAGAACTCGAGAGTGTCCCTTGTAGTAGACTACCCAGAATTAAAAAAAAATTTTTTTTTTTTACCAGAAGACACCTGTGCTCACCAAAGAGACAAAGAGAAGAGAGAGAGAAAAAAAATGAGAAAGCATACCCCATAGGGAATGATCACATTGCAATCCCTTTCCTCCATCTCTCCCACCTTTCAGAATTTGGGGCTTGCATGCACACATGCCCTGTGTGTTTTTCAAGTTGCTGGTTCCAGGACTTGACTGCCCTATCAACCATGTGGGATCCAGCCATCTTAACCACTACACCTCAGGCTGGCTCTACCACCAGAAATTCTTTATACTTTTTTTTTTTTTGGTTTTAGAGAGATTTTTGCTATAGGATGTGTATGCTCATCAGAGAGACATCCCCAGCGGGGATGGCCATGCCACAATCCCTTCTCCCATTCTTCTCTTGAAATTTTGGGCATGCATGCACGTGTGCCTGGCATGAGTTTCAAGCCACCAGGTCTGGGACTCAAACCTCAGTTGGCCATGTGGGTGTCCAGCACCTTAACCACTATGCCACCTGCTGGCCCTACCACCAGGAATATGTTTTTAAAGAATTATTTATTTATTTAACTTTATTTGTTATTATTATTTTTTAATCTGACCAGAGACAGAGAAAGGGAAAGTGAGAAAGCCAAGTCCCAGCCTCAAACTGTGGTCACCTCAACCACCATGCCACCTGCCGGCCCCCACCAGGAATTTTTAACATGGCCCTGGGATACCATTTTAATGAGACTCTCAAAAGTAAAGACGGCCCCAGAAAACCACTAATAAGTATTCAGATAATAAATGACTCAATAATTCAACATAAGTGGCATTAAAGCCAAGTCCCAGACTCAAACTGTGGTCACCTCAACCACCATGCCACCTGCCGGCCCCCACCAGGAATTTTTAACATGGCCCTGGGATACCATTTTAATGAGACTCTCAAAAGTAAAGACGGCCCCAGAAAACCACTAATAAGTATTCAGATAATAAATGACTCAATAATTCAACATAAGTGGCATAATTTACTGACCCAGCTAGGTCTGTGATGATACAGTATGTAGCTGTGTTTGTACCCTGTTCTCATTCTATTTGCTTTATAGTCATAATTAAAGCCTATCCTCTCACCTTTCTTGTGCTCATGAAAAATAATCAACAACTTAAAAAAAACAACATTCATGCTAGAGGGCATATATGTGTGTGTTTGAGATTGAGAAAGCACCCCCACAATGGGGCCTGTTCATATCGTAATCTGTTTTCTTCTAATTCTCTATCTTGTCAGGTTCTGGACACATGCATGCCTGGTATATTTGCAAAGCTGAAGGATCCAGGACTCAAACCCTGGTTGGGCATGTGGGATCTGGCTTCATGTGGGATCTGGCTTCACTTTTTGCAGCACACAACCACTGTGCTAAGAGGCCAGCCCAATAATCATCTCCTTCAAACAGGAATTAACAGAGGGAATGGATTGGCAGTAATTTGTCCTTTAGACGTTAAACAAGAAACTTGGAAATATTGGGTCATCGGAAAAATCATGATGCATTGCTGCATTTTTGCATAGAAAAACCATAGAAAATACGTCATGACTTTTCCAACAACTTAATATAAACAAAACATGCTGTTCTTCTAAGAGATGACAATAAGAAGCCATTTCAAAACAGGCTTCTCTTGTTGGGCCTCGATGATACAAGAGTGGTTTTTTCCATTACTGAGAAGAGCAAACCAGTGCCAATAGAGGCAGATGATTTTCCTGACAGTTGAACCAGGCTTCAGTTCATTTCAGAGAAACCTACTCGAGTCCATCTGTCTGTGTTGTGTCAACTTGGGCCATCGTTTCAATGAATCCAGTGAGTCACTATGGAGGAAAGAATGTGCCCAGGACTTGGGGTCTTTTTCTTTTTCTTTCTTAGTTCGCAACCTGGACCCCACCCCTAGAGTGCATCTTACTTCTGATAGCCAATTCTGACTTCTTGGGGAGATGACCTGTAGGGGATAAAAATGAGGATGAAGGGAAGTCACAGGAAGAAAGAAACAAGAGGTATCTCTTGAATCTGCAACGAGGCTTTGCAGGGGGAGGGCTACGGGGAACTGTGAGGAGAGATCAGCTGTAAATAAAGCATCTATTTCTTCAGATTCCTCAGGTGCCTTTAGACTCAAGCTCCACGGAGGTTTCTCCCCATTGCCTGCTAAACTATGTTGGAAGTCAGAGAAGATGCAGGTTAAATGGGTGGAAAGAAAGGCTGAAAGCATCCTTTGACGGATCAAAGGTTCACTAACCTAGAGATAGGAATATAGGAGAAAGCTACTAAGGGCTTTCCTGATGGAGTGTGACAGAAGAAATCTTTGCCTGGCCTAAGCGAATTTAGGTGGGCAGTCATCTTCATTCTGAACTGAACTCAACAGCCGAAGTTCCCATAGCCCTTTGGTACAGTCAGGTTTAAAAAGAATCCTTTTCTCAGAAAGTTCCAAGCACAGGGACCACCAATTGGTGTAATGGCTATGTTGCTGGACTCCCATGTGGTCGACCGTGGTTCGCGTCCCAGACCCGGTGACTTAAAACTCACGCTGGGCGCATGTGCGTGCGTGCCCAAGATCCCGAGAGGAGAATGGAGGAGAAGGGATTGCGGTGTGGCCATCCCCCTGGGGGGGGGTGATTTCTCACTTTCTGTCTCTCTGTCTCTCTGTCTCTCTCTTTCTGGCAAGCACATGTGCCCTATAGCAAAAACCTCTCTTAAAAAAAAAAAGAAGAAAGTTCCATGCAGAGGCATATTTAAAGAGTTCTTTTAACACACGGAGTTATCTGAAGGGGAAATTACCTTAACACAAATTATGAAGACTCCACATTGTTAAAATACACAAATGCATTATCAATAGTGCTTAGGATAGCTCAATGGAAGGGATAAAATGTTTATTAGAATCAATTAAAATACATTTGAGAGATTTATTCTCTTCATCTTTATTCTCCCATTTGAAGAAAGTGCTGAGTTTTATCTTAACACTTCAAGGTCTTGATCACATTTTATCTGGAAAAAAAGAGAGAAAATGTTTGTCATTCCAGGAGCATAATCAGTTGAGCCGGCACACAATGACATAGTTAATTCACCAACGGAATTTGTTGCCATAGCTCCAGTGAGGGACAGAGTAGATTAAACAATGGCCTTTTTCACGACTGCAGCTTTCACCACAACCTGCCTGTCCCCGCACGACAGGCCGTCATAGCGCCAGCCTAGAGCACAGCAATTGTCAATGAACAACAGCCCAGAGGGGACAAGAGAACGGTTGTGGTAAAGAAAGCGAGAGCTCCCAGCAACTTGAATCTCTGCTTATTCAGTAACTGGGACACTCTTAGCTCTTTTGAGCTTATCTTTAAGCACTGGGCATAGAGAGTTGGCTTGAACTTTGGTCAAGTACCCCATAAGTCCAGAGCAACGAAAGTTTCACCCTGTGGCTTAAAAGAACTCCAAAGGGAAGAGGATCCTAGAGAAGAGAGAAGGAAGGTCAGGAGCAGACATGGTGGGCCACCAGGAGTGCACCATGGAAGAGGACACCAGGGACAACTGCCCTCCCAAACTTTGCCGCAAGGTAATGTAGATGCTTTATTATTCATTTTTGCCTCTGCATATCAGTTGGTTCAAAAGGTAAAGTTCTGTGTATTGGAAAGTGTTGCAGGCCTGTGCTAATTAGTAGAGTTCCACTGAAAATACAAATATTGCTGTTCCATCTTAAGGTGATAAAAAAGAAAAATGAATTGTAGCAGGGGTCTCTTTATCCCCTTAGAGAGTGGGGGGGTGTCAAAAAATTCATAGAAATGCATATTGTAAAAAACACATGCACAGAGTTTGATTTACAGAGACAATGACGTGGTGGTTAAGGACGCTGGTTTGAGACAACCATTGACAACACATGGTTGACCGTGGTTTGAGTCCTGGACCTGACAGCTTGCTTTCTCACTTTCTCTCTCTCTCGCTAAATAAATAAATAAACAAATGTTTAAAAAATGCTAAATAAATAAATGTTAAAAAATTGCTTAAAAAATAAAAACAAAACACCACATGCACAGAGTTTGATTTACATATATGTGTGTGTGTGTGTATAGATAGATACAGGTAGATTTTTGCACCAAGATTAACTTGTACTTTAATTCTATTTCCTACGAATTTTTTGAAGTCCTCTCATCAGTAAGTTACCTAGATAGGGTTTGATGACAGGAACAAATTTACTTTCTAAACAAAAATGTCAAATCAATCTGAGGAAGTGTAGGTAATTCAAGGCAAAGGATGCCGTGGGAGCCTGAGGGCATTGGAGAAGTGTTTTACCAACAACGAAGAGCACAGTCCTGATAAACCGTTCAATTCGTTGATAGTAGAGATGGCAGCATTCGTGTGTGCATATATCCAAACTCAGAAAACATATGCATTAAATATGTGGAAAAAAATGTTCATTATCCTATAAAATGAGAAATTCTCCTAGTGGAAACATCACAGAATCCTGACTAGAACATCTATTTCTGAATTTCATGCTCTGAAACCATCACATAAGTGAGACCATCTGACATGGTCTCTTATTTTCTTGGTGGGGAGTATCTAAAGGAACACGTATTTGAAAGGGAGCCCTGTTAAACCAGGGGTTCTAGATGGAGAAAGTTTATGTAGTAGGAGAAAGAGCTAAGAAGGACTCCAGATGATGTGAAGAAGAAATTTAGGGCCAGGGGCAGGTTCCCAGTAACGATGCAATTTCTCTGCTTCCCAGTGAAGTTGGTTTCACTTCACTTCCCTGAGAGTGGTTTCTTGGGCCTCAGGACACCAGCCCCTCTTTTCTGTCCCAGTACTCCTTCAGAACTTTCCCATGTCCCTTGGAATGGATGTAGATGGCTGATTTAAGCGCCATATGCCTCAGAAAATAGGCTGGGTCCATACCAGCAGACACTTGAGCTACATGACTAGTAGATCATTTCCTCTCATTGATCCCTTTCCTGGTAACCTCCATATTGTCTCAGATTTGGAGAACTTTGTAGATTTTAGGCCCATGAATTTTACTAGTTCATGTTATTGAGTTAACAAGGGGAAATCAGGAGGCATTAATTTAATCATTAATTGATTCATGCCTTGCTCCAAAAATGGATTCAAAGTGGTATCAAAGCAACTAGACTTGGGCCAGCAAGTGGTGCAGAGGTTAAGGCATTGGATCCCACATGGCTGAAGGCGCTGGTCTGAGTCTCGGAGCAGTGGCTTGAAAATCACACTGTGTGTGTGTGCATGTGTGCCCAAAATCCTGAGAGAAGACTAGAGGAGGATGGATTGTGGCATGGCCATCCTCTCTGGATGGTGATTTCTCACTCTCTCCCCCTCTGGTGAGCACACAAATAAGACAAAACAAAAATGATGAGACTCAGGGGTTGTCCCTGTAGTACAGTGGTTAGACCCTGCACAGTGGTTGACTAGATTTCCACACGGTTGACTAGATTTTAAGTCCTGGCTCCACAGGCTTGAAAAACATGCCAGCGGCCCATGCTTGGGTGCCCAGGATCCTGATAAGATGGAGAACTAGAGGAAAAAGGATTGCACCATGACAAGGCCCCATTGTGGGGTGCTTTCTTCCCCCTTTCTCTCTTTCTTTCTCTCTTTCTCACATGCACAGGCCTGCATGCTCTTTACCATGAATTTAAAACAATACAAATCTTTAAAACCTTGAGTCAGTTCTTCACTGGTACAGACATAGAAAATGGAGATGATCTTTCTATGCTCCAGCCATGTAGAATTAAATCTGTGCAAATATCACTCTGTACTCTCAAACCTTTTGTGAGTTGAAAATTAGACAAAAGCTTCTGATGTCATAGTTTCCCAGTAACATCACTTACCATTAGAAAAATGGCTGATATTTTCAGTCCTTAATAGGTGACCATACCCCGTACTATGGACTTTCCATGCCTTATTCCTTAGGGTTATGTTCAATGAAAGGGCCCAAGCTCCTAAACCTCTCCTATCCTGCTATTGTGTCTCAGTTTCTCTTAGTTAAATTGAATGGGTTTTATTAACCACCTTTTGGGCAATTAAGATGGATTACATAATTAATTGGGGCAATAATAAACAGTGATTGATTAACATTTTAATCACACTTTGAAATTCTCAATGTATTTTTTCACACAAGTGACTCAACTTATGTAAATCTAACTTTCTTCTAAGTTTTTTTTATTTATTTTTTATTTTATTTTATTTTTTTGCTATAGAGTGCATGCGCTCTCCTGAGAAGAGAGAGACAGAGAGAAAGTGAGAAATCAGCTCCCACGGGGGAATGCCACAATGCCTTCTCCTCCATTTTCCTGGGATTTTGGGCATACACTCACAAGTGCCCAGGGTGCAGTTAAAAGCCACTAGGTTTGGGACTCAAACCATGGTTGGCCATGTGAGAGCCCAGTGCCTTAATCACTATACCACCTGCTGGCCCCTAAATTGAACTTTCTGACTGCGAGCCCATTCGTGTACCATACACTGATAGACCCAAACTGACACATGACCACTTATTTCTCTCTCTCTCTTTTTGTTACCAGAGAGCACATGTGCTTGCAAGAGAAAGAGAGAGAGAGAGAGACAGAAGGCACCCCTCAGTGGGGGATGGTCATGCCACAATCCCTTCTTTTCCATTTCTCCATCCTGTCAAGATTCTGGACACGCACACACAAGAGCCATGTGTGTTTTTCAAGCCATAGGGGCTGGGATTCTAACTGTGGTTGGCCATATGGAATCTGGCTCCCTTGACCCTTAAGCTACGAGGTCAGCCATTACCATTTCTGGCTACAGCTAATGGTGCTGCTTACCAGCCAATAGTAACAAGCCTTGTCATTAAATATTGTATTTGAAAAGCGAGAGTAATTATGAATTTAACAAAATTTCAGAGCTCATTGGCAATGGAAACTTCTTTTTTGAAAAAAGTTTACCCATTCATCTATTTTTTCGGTGTGAGAGAAGGAGAGGCACCCTCAATAGGATCTCCAGCCAGAATCCACACCCAGCCCAAGTCAACTTGGACTACAGACACACATGTTTATGTGCTGGGCATGCACAGAGAGGCCCCAGGACTCCAACCTGGGATCTTCCCATGTGGGTCCAGCATTATAGAGCATTAATTGCATCATTGTTGTGCTACCAGCTGGCCCCAGAAACCCCCTTTAAATGAAAGAGTTGGTTATTTATTTTCCACATATTTAATTTTGGCACTTGGTTGGCACTTATTTGGTAATAAGAGAATGCCCAAATAATATCTCAAGTCCTTTAACCTGAAATCTTGTAAAATACATATTGTTTATATTCCCATTTTCAAGTGAGAAAATTGAAACTGAAACTCACAAAAGTTGGGTAAATTGTCCAAGGTAGTAAGAATAGAGTTGGAATTCAGGTTCCTAGAACCCAATTTCACTTCTTTAAAAAAAAAAAAACCTATCCTGCTAGAGCCAGTGGCTTGGTGGATAGAATGCCTGGATCTCAGGCATTTGACTGAGCTGTTCCAGTCCTAGACTCAGTAGATTGAGAAACATGCCAGGACTACATGTGTGGGTAGCATACCCAAAATCCTGGAAGGGGAATGGAGAAGAAAGAATTGATCTATGGCTATGCCCTCTGGGGGGGGGGGGGATTTCTCACTTTTCCTCTGTCTCTCTCCTCTCTCCAGGGAGTGCACATGCCCTGTGGCAAAAACCTAAAAAACAAATAAGCAAACAAACAAACAAAAAACAGAGAACACTTACACTTCTGAATAAGGTGATCACAAATCACACATGGCTATTTAAATTGAAATTTATTTATTTATGTTTTAATTGCTGGAGACAGGATCTTGCTATGCTGCTCAAACTGCCGTCAAACTGGTGATCTTCCTACTTCAGCCTCCTGAGTAGCAGGATTGTAGGCACGCACCATGGTGCCCAGCCTAAATTTAAATTTAAACTACTTAGAATGAAATAAGATACAAAGTTCAGCTCTTCAGGTACACTAGCCACATTGCAAGTGCTCAATAGCTAAGCATGGCTAGTGGCTGCCCTATTTAGATGGTGTAGATACAGAATATTCCATTATTGCAGAAAGTTCTACAGAATAACACTGAATTAAACCATTAGGTCTCTTTTAGATACGTTGACACATGTCCTCAAAATATATTGTGGTCAGTTACAAGTAAGATGGAGTTTAAATTTTACAGGAAAATCTCATTCATTTTAAGTCTCCTCATTTGCATAGCACCAAGTTAACTTTGATCTGCAAATTAATAATATAGATAAGAGTCAAGGAGACTGTTAAACGCACTTCAGAGACCAAAGATTTTTAAGCACCATCAAATAACTCCAGAAGCACTCACTTAGATGCAAGCAATTGATATGATAATTACACATCATTTTTATTTATTCATTAAAACAGGGATCCCCTAAGGTGCCCTTGTAGGAAATAATGTGGATAGCCTAGTTATTTCTAGCAACCCTTCTGCTATTTCTACATTCTATGTAAAATCATTTTATACTAGATTTATCTTTCTTTCTTGATACCACTGAAATTTTGACTAGCTCAAGATCTAATTCCAAAACCTTTGCTTCTTCCACT